CCCAAAAGCAAAACACATACACCACTCTATCCTGTACTGTTGTGGTTTTACATGGTAATCCAATGTGCTACTTTTTAATAGTGCAAATACAAATCTTAAAATAGCCACACAAAATGGTCACATAGTCTGAAAATTAAAACCAAAAACCAAGTGACAACTGACTTGGATGTGGTGGAGGAGCGCTGGTCCATGCTGACGGAGCGGCGGAAGGCTTCTCTCTGGGCAATGAGGGCTGATTTGGGTGAGGCTTTGGGGCTGGGGTCTGAGTCAGCACTGTCATCGTCCCCCATGGCCTTTATGTAGCTGCCACTGCGCATACGTCGACAAGGGATCTCACCACCACTGTCAGATGGACCGCCACCGCACCAATCATCTGAGGGAACCTACAAGAGACATATGACTTGCTGTCAGCCTGGCCTTTATTTTTGTTAAATGACGACGGATGAGGCCATTTTATATTTACACAAAAAGCTAATATTAAGAAACTAAAATTTTAGACACAATATCGGCAGTTTCTTTGAATCGACTGAACAAGTCGTTTGAGTGAATGATTCATTGATTCACTCAGAATGTCAGCTGTTTTGTTCTTAAATGTATATGTGTTTTTGAACAAATCAGAGTGAATGAATTCAAATGACTCACTCATTAAGGCAATCACTTGTTTCATACCAGAAGGAATCAATGTCTTAAACAAATGAGAAAAGTGACTGTTTCAATGACTCAACTCAACATAAGAAAGTCACTTGTCGCTACCTACTGGTGTATCGATGTAACTTGTAGGAAGAATGACAGAAAAACAGTCTGTCTGGAGTGATACAAACAGTGAAAAGTCCTAGTGCTAATTTCGAGGACCTAAACTTGCTGTTGTGTAGTTACTGTATATATCAATCATATGAGAGAAAATGCAATGATATGGCAACTAAATGTTTATGTATATCAGAAAAAAACAATCTTGTTAGAGCTGTGGCTTTCTGGCCACAGCATGACCAGAGGGAATGCACGGTTGAACTGAGGGCAGCTGAGTAAAATGGGATCTGATTGGCTGACAGGGATGAAAGGCACCAGCTGTACATTTAGAGCTGTCATCACACTCAAGAGCTACACCTTGGCTGGGGCATGGACAGAGCACAGATGTGTGGAGATAGCAGGTTATGGAGGGGAGAGGCAAGATTATTTATTTTCATGAACTCTGCTCTCCAGAGCCTTGTCCTTTTCTGATAGCATCGCTGCATATTATTGCTGTTTTTTGCCTCTGCATTCGCTCCCTGTCACATATTTTGAACACATAACATACAAAAATTATGTCTTACAATCCACTAAAAGTTGGCTAGATGTTTAATAATGGTTGCAGTTCCAGTATTGTCTATGTTTCACAATTGGATGTTCCCTCTTAAACTTGATGCTCTACTCCCTGTTTTATTGTGTATATATATATATATATATATATATATATATATATATATTCTCTGTGTTTCATTTTTTTTTAATCATTCAGCTTTGCTTTCACTATGAGGACACAGGAATACTGAATTAAATATAACATCAATGATTAGCACACTTAAATGGGTAGCTCATTCAAAAATGAAAATTCTGGCATCATTTGCTCACCCTCTAGTTGTTCTTTTTTTTGTGCTCAACAGAAGAAATAAACTCATACAGGTTTGGAATAATTTAAGGGTGAGTAAATGGTGACAGGATTTTCATTTTTGGGTGAACTATTCCTTTAAGATTGTAGGTAAAGAGTTATCAAGGGACATTTTGTCCAAAGAGGCAGGCAAAAATATAGACAAATATTTAAGATAGTGCCTCAACAGAGGGCTTCATACTCCTTTTCGCACCCTTTCTTTCACTGACATCAGATGATAATCCAACCACCAAATTACCAAGGATGGAGATGCACTTGCACTCACACACACACACACACACACACACACACACACACAAATTGGTTTGTTTTTATGGTTTATGGGGACTCTCCATAGGCGTAATGGTTTTTATACTGTATAAACCATATATTCTGTTGCCCTACACCAACCCTACCCCTAAACCTACCCCTTACAGGAAACTTTCTGCATTTTTATAAGCCTTTTGAATTACGGGGACACTGAAACTGTCCTCATAAATCACCTTCTCATTGTAATACCTATGTCATACCCATGTTATTATACAAATTTGTGTCCTCATAAACCACATAAACATGCACAAACACACACACACACACACGATAAGGAATGCTGTATCTATCACTTGACCACTGAGTGGGGTATTTTAAGGTCATCTCTTTCAAAGGATGATGTGACTCGATCTCTCTATCCATCTATGTTTCTCTTGGCTCCACCCCTCCTATCTTCCTTCTAATACACACGCGCACTTAGGTAAACAAAAACAAACCCATACACAAATATAATTTTGAATCAGGAGCTCAATTGGCCTCTTCTGGAGAAGCTAATCATTGATTTTTATAATCCTTGGTTTGAGTGTCTCCACCATTCTCTTCATTTTTCCTCAGACTTCCATTTTGTTCTTTTAATGCAGCGGGAAAATACCGAAAATTCCTGCAAAGATGTATGTGTAATGTCACTGCATTACTGTCAAACCGTTTTTCTTACATATCTTTCATATAATTGGTCTCCTTCTAACCATTTGAAATGAATAGGTCACTAAAAATGGTTCACTGAAAAATAACACATACTGTACAGCATGTGCATGGAATCAATAAAGTGCAGGTGAGTAAATAATGCCAGAATTTTAATTTAAAGGGACAGTTCACCCCAAGATTACAATCTTATTCATTTACTCACCCTGATGTTTTTATATAACTTTCTTCTGTGGAACATAAAATAATATATTTTGAAGATTGTCATTGTTGTTGTTTTTTTTGTCCAAACAATGTTCACCACCCCGCTACCCACAAAACGTTCCTTCTTTCCCACAAAAAAAAAACAAATAAACAACAACAAAAACACTTTCAATCTTGCAATCTGTGTTATTGTTCTCATCCTCTTATTTTTCCCCCAACAGCCCCTGGTATTTGTTCTCATTATATTGACACATTTCACTTCCTCCTGCTCCCCTGCTAATTGCGACACAGATCGACTGACTTGTAACAGACAATTCATCTGGTTCATCCCCATGTCTTCATTTCAGATCACATAAAAAATCTGCTCTCCTGCGATGAGCCCCTGACTGAGCTGCAGTCCACAGCTGGGTTTCTTTCTCCCCAGAGGCTCAGGCTAGCTGAGTCAGCTGCTCTGCCTTCAGCTATCACTGTAAGACCTCACACAATTTCTTCTGGACCAGCTGCTCTTCATGATGGAACACAGAATGAGCACTGATGGGGACTATATGCAAGCTTGGGGGTTATCTGGATATCAGAATCTACTTTGAAACTGTAGCTTCCAAAGCTATAAGATACTCATGATTTAAAGTATTCAAACTACAGTCAAGCTACTCTTTTGTGAGTAGCCTCTATTTTAAGACTGTGTCTTAAGAACTAGTCTGATCAACTTGCTAATACTAATAATGTGAACAACAACAGCAATATAGTGACTGTCATGCTACACACTGTCTACTTGTAGTTAGTTACTCTTCAACATTGCTGGCTATGACAATGTACTGTATGTAGTTACACAGTAACCATTGACAGATAGGATAAATGTGTGTATCATACTGAGTGGGAATGTATGAAAGTTAATAGGTTGTCTCGCTGTGACAAATTAGCTAAATAATAGTGACGACTGACCAGATGTATTTCTATCATGGTGAAGCTGATGTTCTGTGTAATTGGAGCTTGCAAGTGCTAATATTACAGGAAGTGAAATTAGTGTCAGGGCATGACCTCTATGCACGTTCCTGTGGTCCAGTAGCCCTGGGCAACAATAGCACAGAATGCAAGAGACGGCACAGTTGGTTATGTCCATCACAAAGCATTGACTTTTCTCTCTTTCCCACTGAAGAGCCCGGGGACAGAGCAGCCATGGGATGGGGTGCACCTGATGCTTATTGTGCTTTCTCACAGCTGCTATTCAGTCTATACTTTGCTGAAACTGGTCTTCTTTTATTTGAGCACCAGGTGTTTGAAGTCCAGGCATGAATGCAACAATAATGATAACCGGCAACGCTTCTTCTACACAGCCTGATATTTTCTTTCACCACCACTATAAAGAAACAAGTGTCATGCAGGCAACTTTGGGGGAAAAACAAACAAACAAATGCTGGAGAAATCACCCATTTATGCCTAAATTTAGTAGTCAAGTTGCACCTTCCACATAACATTTGCTGAAGACTAACACATATCTGTGGAAAACAAAAGGAGTAATTAGCAAAATGTCAAAGCTGCTCTTTTTTTAAATCTCTGGTGTCTGCTAAAGAAAAAAACAGGATGTGCACAGGGATACTGTGAAGCTGTAGGCCTTATTTTATAAGTGGCGCTCAACTCTGTCATTTACTTATTTATTTTTAATCTGTAAGCCTTATTTAAGTAGTGCTCAACTGTGGCTCACTGTTGTACCTGGAAACGAGCGTAACCTCCTAGAGCTCCATTCTGTTACCTTAGAAACATAACCATATGCTGACACTTGGTGGAAAGTGTGAGAGAGTGTATAGGAGAACAATTATCCTCATTCAACCTGTTGTCATGTCAGATACAGTTTCCACCC